TGTTATTTTTTTTTTTTTGGTACATGGCCTTAGTGACTAAGGCCATAACAATAAATAGCCAAAACAAGAGCTCTCTGGGCACTTTTGATCTTCATGTCTGAAAATTGCACTTGTAACCTTGAATTTCCCATAGCACTCTCAGCAATAATAAGGCAGATCAATCTGCAAGCTCCTGCTAACAATGGAGTCTTTCACAGCGCGAGCCTCCCGTGTCGCTAACATTGCATGTGTTGCAGAATAATTGCACTTAAACGGATGGCCAGGTCACGGCTGCTGGTGCACAGAAACACAAATATTTCCACAGGGGAACAAAAGTATGTATTCTATCCACTTTGGTGCCCATTTGAACTTGTCCCTGTGCAATTTTGTGGTGTTAGCATGCAACCGATGTCTTAAGCTATGCTAAATCAAGTGTCGCTTCTGAACACAGAACAGGTTTTTCCCTCACATAATGGAGATGGGCTGTCTAACTTTAGTTCCCATGTGAACTGAATGGTATTTCAAGGAAAATGTATGTGCTTTAGGATGACAACGTAATCATTCAGCGTCATCCTCATCTTCCCACGATAGCACTAAAATCATTGTTGCACTGACAGGTCGGTTTAATGATCGTACCTTGTTGATGTGGACCTGTTGCTGGTACTGTTTCTGCTTCTCCAGGAAGTTTTGGTGTTGCTGCTGAATCACAAGTTGAGCTAGTGTGCTCTGGGGCAGCGGAGCCGATTGGGTTCGGTTTAAGGGCCGGTGACGAGGCAGTTTGGGTCGGGTGCTGCTCGGAGAGCTTTCCATCATGGCCAGCGGAGAAGGGGGATGCACAGGACTTTGACCTATGTAACAAAATGTATGGATCTGGTAAATACAAATCTAATAGAATAAAAGTTTCACCCTCTCATTTCATTTAAAGGAACAGTTCACCCCAAAATGAAATGTATCACTATTTACTCACCCTAGACCTCCTTAGCATGTTCCCCAATAGAACAAGTGATGCTCAATTTATGAATGAATCATTATTTTAGGTTGAATCAGTTGATCCAATTCCCAAAGAAGTCTGAATGATTTGATCACAAGGCTTTTATCCCCCCAATTTACGGTCTGGGCAAATTGAAAGTGAGACTACAGTGAGTCTACAGATTTGAGTTGACAGATTTCACTCAGAATTGTGTAGTGTATGATGGGCAATGACTTCCTTCACACTTCAGACCTATCCAGTCTGAGCAGGGGCGTAGATTACGCGGGGGACGCGGGGGACGTGTCCCCCCCACTTTTAATATCACGTAAATTCGTCCCCCGCACTTTTTCGGGCAAGTGTGTTCACATAGAGGTCTTTCAAGGGCCGGTGGGAATAAATATAGATTTAAATTCAAAGAGATAGGATAGTCTGTGCATGATCTGATGTTTTATTCGGACACAGAATAAGCCGAGATGAACATCGCGGAGGGCAAAACACTCCATGCAGTGTATGTTTCATTCATACTCGAAGCCGGAGGGCGCTCTCG